CTGCCGACTCTCTCGACTTGGACGTATATATGGAACGCAGAACTTGAGTGTAATTCGTGCACCATTGTTAGGCGCACTCCCAGGACCTCCTGCGCTTGCAAAGACATTCTGGAAAGTCGTTTTAAGGGGAATTGATGACTTCCGTCACACAACTAGACTGAATCCATAATTTTGTGACATTTGCGAGGAGATCCGACTAAGGCTGAAGCCTGCAGACTCTCTGGACTTTGACATATATACGGAACGCAAAACTATTGAGAACTGCTGAGCGACATTGGTGCACCACTTGTCATGCGCACTCCCTGGACTTCCTGCGCTTAGGGAAAGACTTCTGGCCAAACAAACAGACGAACGTAGAATATGCCAGTCCCATGGAGTGGCTGGATGAGGCGGTAGTACTGCGGTTCAGTATCAATTCTCGACCTGAAGGGGGACTGGTCTCTTGACTGTTTGGTCTAGGGTCGGACTGGCGATTGAGATGGTATCACCTGGACGTCTTTTCCTATCGCATCAACCATCATGGTCGACCACCATACAATAACCTGAAGAATCCTTGGACCCTCCAGTGCTTATAGGGCCCGGATCCCTTAGGGGAACAACACTCCCTCGCATCGTACCTCCACGTCTCCGGCATGAATGCCACCCCGACGCCCTGTCCGTACTGTGTCACCCTGTCGCACCCAAGGCCGCCGGTTTTTATGGCGGCCAAGGCCGACAAACGGCCCAGCACATGCGGAGTCTCACGCAGTCTTTAATTGCGGAGTGGCACGTTGTTGGCGGGCAGCGCACATTTGGTTCAGGTGCGGGGACACTTCGAAGTCCCCCCGTTGAAGCAGTGTTTCAGATCAAAACGCCATGCCCACTCTTGAGCGAAGCCTATGGTTCCACTGGCACCTTCGAAGGTCATTGGACCCTCCCGCCTACATCAAGAGTCTCCGTCCTCACCGAATACCTCGGGTGCCCCCTATGTCCTTAGGGGAAGTTCCTCACGCCAAATAGTCTCCGTCCTCACCTTACCTCAGGTTCTCCGTTTGTCCGGGGAAGTTCTCAAAATCGAGGTTCAGAAGAAGCGTTTCTTGTCCTTCGTCACGGGCAGCGACTTAGCGCCGGTGGGCGGTCTACAGGAGCGCGCGGCGCGGAGAACCGGCGCGGAGAAGCGCGCACCGGCGCGGGGAAGGTGAGCGAGTGTTGGTGATTGGTTTAGAGCTGAGTGACCTGAGACGGTCGGAAGGTCGAGTGACCTGTGATGGCAGAATTCTACGAGGGACCTTAGTAGCACGATGTACCACCGTTCGATTCAACCACCTTCAATCTTGATTCTTGACTATGAGAATGAGACTGGTGGTGTCTTCAAATCAGGGGGCTAGTTAATTGCAGAAGTTGACTGTGGACTCACTTTGTGGCATATCTTCCGGCCTGTTTGAGAGATGCCTACTGACCCACTTTGCTCAGCGTTTTCGAGCGTTTTTTGAATCCACTGCCCAACTTGAAATCACTTTGCCCACTCACAGCCCTTGATGAACACCTCGAAGAATCGCGTCTGGTGGAATCTTTCACGTTTGTTCCACAGGCCTCCACCATGCTCCACCTACGGGCCACTTTTGTTTCGTTCAGCGCTCCGACGTTTCCGAGGTTTGAACTCTTTTGATCCCTTCCATGGCAGGAAGGCAAAGCCAGCAAGCCCCTTTTTCCCCTTTTTTCCCACCAACCACTTCCCAAAAGAACGCTCATCCAGGTACCACCTGGAGAAGCGTGCCAAGCACTTAGTCATCATTTTGGGTCATTTTCCCACCAATCTTTTTGACACTCGCTGAAATAGTCATGGTTATCGTGGATGGAATCGTTTGGCGCTGAGTCCCGGAGCGAAAAAAAACGGATGACCATGTCCTCGATCCGAAGACCAAAAGGAGATGGTGCACGCGAGATGTGGGTGTTCATGTTCTCGGGATGTGGGGTCTTGGAAGATTTGGCACATCCAAAGATTGGACGCCAGGAGTTGCAGCTGGTGATCCAGCGCAACGGCGATGAGCCCACAGAGCGCTTGCCCACAGCGCCCGAGCTTACTCTTTTGGGGGGGGGCCAGGCTTTGGCCGATTGTTGATGGAGTGAGTGAGAGTGAGATTGTTGATGCTATTGTCATGAACCAGCTGTATAAGATGGTGGAGGCCAGTATTTGTGGTGCTTTGGAGGTCATTAAGGTGCTTTCAACCACAGTGATAGTGATGAGGACAGTCGGAATCTCATCATTTTCCTGCCATTTCCTGCCAGTTTGCCAAGGCCCACACCTGCTTCAACCTCCTGCTGCTCCCGGAGTGTTTTGCCTGATTTTTTTGCCGTCCGTAGTTTGCGATCCCAAACGAACGAACTCATCAGTTGTCCGCAAAGCCTGCGTGTTGATTTGTTTTTGAATGTGTTTTGGACGGGGGGGGTTTTCCCAAGAACTGGAAGAGCAGCACGCTGGACCAGCATGCACGGGGGTATTCTCATGAGCCATTCAACTCCTTGACGGCCATTTCGAGTAGGCAAAGGAGCCACAAAAAAGCGGCAACATCCACTCTGACGTTTGAACATCTCTGAAACCCAATGATCATACCTAGCACGTCCTACAGGTCGACCTGTTTACGTAGGGTAGGGTAGTTTAGCCAGGACACCCAGACAGGATGACCCGGAGGTAGATATATAAGTGTTTTCTCCCAGTTCGCACGCTCACTAAGTCTTTAGGTCGGATCTAGAATCCGTTCGCTCGACAGAAGAGGAAGCTGCATGTCACCAGCTGTCCACTGGCTTAGTAAGGAACCTCATGCGTGACACACTCCCTCAATTCTCTTCAACTTGCGAGTCATTGTGGTTCAAGTCTAAGAGGGATTGACAACATGCGGCTTGAAATTCAGCTGGAGTTGTTTGCTTTGCTTGTCCAGCCCGAACTGTCCCAATCTCTCACGTCAGATGGGAAACCTCCATCCCCTGGGCCTCCAGTCGTACCTTCTGACAAGGTGTTTGGGGTAAGTTTGGAAGGTCCAAATACCTTCTGAGGAGGTACTTGGAGGTGTAGGGATCAGATTGATCAAAGACAATCTCCGAACCCCACCCCCCACAACATCCCAAATTCTTCCGACCAAGAGGGCTTCCTTTGATATAGGGAACCAACCCTGTAAGTCCAATTGAGCAATAGCCAGAACCTCCAACAGAAAGTCCAAGAAATGCCGTCACATCATTAGACGATATACTCTCCCTGGAACTAACATGGAAGTGGAACACCACCCGTTTGTATGGATTTCATGGTCTTTCAAGGGGCCAGGCCATCCACTTCCATGTTAGTTCCAGGGAGTGTAGGATCTATACATCTTGACCCCAAAAAGAAACCCACCAATGATGTGAGTCCCATTGTGGGGTCTCTCTGGGACGGGCTTTCCGTGTGTCTCTCTGGGCCCGAGGTACGGCGACAGCTCCAAGTTGGAACGGATGATCGTCACGGCCATGCACAACGCCGAGGGCTTCGGCTTGGAATGAGATCGAAGATCTTCGACGATCTCGACAGAGATGGGGAGGGAGAAGAAAATGGTTGGCCTGCGGAGCCAGGAGGCTTGGCAGGGCGGTGGGCAGGAGGGACATGTGGCCAAGCTGAAGAACTCCTTTTCGAGGATCTTCCGAAAGCAATTGGCTGGTTGATTCCAATGGTTGTTGCTTGCCATGTTCAAGAGATACTGCACAGCACACGAACCATACACCTCAGAGGGGTAGCACATGATCCCCACCAAAGGTCCCAGATCTGGAGAAGTATATTACAATATATTATTATGATATGTGCTGATGTATGTCTTTTTGTTACTGTTTTTGTTGAGTCTGAGGTCCGAAGCACAGATGGTAGGAGTTGCACGTGATGGTGCAATTTGCCTTTGCACCGATCTCCTACCTAGGCGTTGGGCATTTGTTGAGCGTTTCACGCAAGGCATTGGATTGGTTTCAGGGAACATTTGCAGGAAACCATCGTCATCAACATCTTGGCTTTCCTGTATATATAGATGATGCTCCCTTCAAACCATGCCGTGGGACAGCAGACATTTGAAGGTCTTGCACCACTTGTGCGCCTGGCCCTTGTGCCAGGATCACTGGATCACTCCACCTGAGCAGCACGAGCTTTCACTCCAGCGCGACGTTTACATGGCGAAGGGTTTCACCGCAAAAAGACGCCAACGCCGCGCGTTCGCGCCAGGTTTCGAGTTTCGAGAGACTCATCTAGGTCGGAGTCACAAGTACGGGGTGGTTTTTAGATGTTTTTCGTCCCATCCAGTGAGTGGATGTGACAGGGGCACCCCTATTCTCCAAGTTCGGCACCCCTTTGTGACTGCTGGTAGGTCGGATCTGAATTTCCAACTCGCGAGTGATTCCATGGACACCATGACTGATCACATGTTGACCTGCCGTACGGTTTCTTTCTCATCCACAGAACGAACTTGGGACAACATGTATCTATAGCAGATTTGTCGCGATTCAGTCCAACCTCCAGGCTGTTGGCAGCATGATTGGCATGGCATGTGTTCTTTTTCTTGCCATGCAAGCAGTGAAAGGTACCCAGAGGTACTGTGTACAACAGGTCCAACATCCTCAGCAGGGAGCTATTGGTCTAGTTCCTTTTCTTGAGCTCAGTGGATTGAAAATGAGTTTCAGGTCCACATCCTTCGGGCCGTAGGATCCATACCTTCTCAGGGAATCTGGCCTTTGTGACCTATTGGTGGTGTAGAAATGTACTCTTGTCAAAGATTGAGAAGTCCTCCTAGATCCTCCAAATAGGTATTTCCTGGTGACAAGCCCCGGATACCACTTCTGGGAGTCCGAAAACAGCCGGCCAGGAGGGTTCTGGTGGGCATGTGTTCGTGGGTTTGTTCAGGCATGTTCTTCACATCGAAGCATCGGATGCCACTGCCAGCCAGTACTTTTGGTCAACATGTTCCCTTTTTTACGGATGTATCGTCCGCGCTTTCAGGACGAACCGCTGGCTGGGTCAGTTCAATATCACATTGGTGTACGAGATGTACGACTTTGACTCACCAACATGGAAGTCATGTTTCTTGTTCAAGCAGGAGGGACTCCACTCCGTGCACGTGCCTTTGAATTCCTTGAAACACCCATTGCCCATGACCCTCCCAAAAAATACACAGTTCTGTGCAGGCTCCCAGTCCTGCGCCCTCCACGCGGACGCCAGGCTGGATGGGACGCAACTCCATCCATGTACGCAGTAGGCTAATTTTTTAGCCAGCTAGATCAATGCCCATCAGACCCAGAATTTTGGTTTAAGGGAACATCTACAGGAAAGCAAGGTGAACACCGTCGTTGCCTGTAGATTTTTCCCTTAGAACCAGGTCTAGGAATCAGAGATCACATGGAAAGGTCTGGTCGGCCCCGAACATGTTGACTTGACGACTGGTGCCCAACCAGTCGCTGGTCACTGAAGGCCCTAGAGGTCGGTTTCACCTCCGAACTGGGCGTGGTCATAGGAAAAGGGCACGACTTAAGGAGATAGAATGGGTTTGATACCAGGAGCCTCCAAGGGGTGCCCAATGGAAGCCTATAGGTAGTGTGGGGTAGTTCATTGGACACCCCTTGGAGGGTCCTGGTATACTGGGTCTTTGGACTTGTATTGTTTCTTTTTTTTGGGGGTGGGCAAGGAAGACCTGCCTCTTAAAAAAAAAGCCAGAACCCCCATTGACCCATAAGTTATTCTTCCACTCCCATGGATGGGCTGGGAGTTCAAGCAAGTGAAGAGTGAATCCTCTCCGTGGAATGATGCACCCATCAGTCGGTCTTTCCCCTGAAAGAAGTGCCACGCCGCCACGCCTTCCTCGCTTCATTGCCCCCCCAGGTGGGTGGACGTCATTCTAACGATGTGGAATTCATGTGATTTCCTTCCATGACATCGAGGAAACACTCTACCTGGAGTCTCAGTTCGTACCTCGGAAAATGGGTACAGTCATACCTGGTTTTATAGGGTCATGTCCCATTTTCTAGGGTACTTTCGAGGGTCCGGGCAGAAAAAAAAACTGAGAGAAACAGGGATGACGCCTCCCCAGAGCATCTTCAGGGGAGCCCTCCTGCGGCTCCACCTCACCCATGGCCGGGCGGGACGATGTGGCCAAGACCTTTCGCATCGCATGGCGCCTGGGCACGTGGTTTGTCATGTTTCAATTCATTGGGGTGGTTTGGGGGTCAATGTAGGCATACATATGGCATACATGGAGTCTCAGGCACTCCAGTCATGGAATCCAAACCCTGGCTTTGCTGAAGGTGATGTTTTTTTGGTTCTATTCCTGTGGGTGAATCCCCTTCTGGTCAAGGTGTGTTCTTATTTACCGGTTCCTCAAGCTTAGCGGAGATTCGTGGCCTCGGGCTGCGGGCAGCAACCCGCGCAGTTGCGAGTGGTTCGTTCGGATGAAAAGCTGGGATCCGGCCTGAGAATGGGATCCGGATTTGCGGTAACACGATACATCGACATAAAGCAGCGCCTTCCAGGCCGGGGACCTGGCTGGAAGCCTTTCACGGGGCGTGGTCCGGAGGTTCCCCCCCCGCACAGGGGCGTTCCATCTCCACCGAGCCAGAGGACCTTCCACTTCCAGCCAGCCATGGACGTGTCCAACGGTCGTGGAGGGTTTTTTCCCTTCCCAGACACGACCTGTCTGGGATTGCCATAGGACTGGCGATCAGGCCAGGGGTGGTGTTGGGGGTCAATGGGGTGGCATATATCATATATGGCATACATATGGAGCGTTTTCCCCTTGGGAGGTGCTGTTTGCTCAAGCCCTTATTTCACACCTCCCGCTGGAGTGGAGGTTGTTTGTTGATAACGTGCTGTCGACAGATCTAAGACGACCTGTTTGCCTTTTTCCTGAGTCCAAACCATGTAAATGTAAATGTTTATATATTATCCCAAACACTCCATGTATGGAATATATGCCTACATTGACCTTTGATACCACCCCAATGTATGCAAATATGGTATGCATGGAGTGTTTGGATATATATATATATATGTGAAGATTTGCCATCCTCCAACAAATCATCATCAAATCATCATATGTCAAACTGATTTTCGAGTGTCAGCACCATCTTCGGACTCCCAATTCACTTGTCAGAGCTGACCTTCACCAAGGACGGACGCGGCCCCCGAGATGGACCTCCGCGTTTGGCGGGGCGCCCACCGCGTTCCCGGGAATCCTAACGCAGCTGGGCGCCTCGTGGCGGCACCTCCAGCACCTGGGCTCTGAAGGACGGGCCCTGGAGCCGGAGCTCGTGATGAATTCTGATGATGCTTGACCTTGCTGGCTGATCTCTTAGTCATTTTGGTGGGAAGAACCTGGGCGCCGGGTGCGACCCCAGACACCATATTGATCTCGCCTCACCCGTTCGAGCACAACTGGCCGACCTTCGGCAAAGGAGTTCAGTCCCATAGAGTCAGTCCTGCAGTCTGCCGTCCCAGTTGTCTCGGGAGACGGCCCAGTTGTCTCGGGCCCTCTAGACAGCCTTTCCAAGAGAAATCTCGACAGGTGGACATCGGATGAAGCACCGTAACTGGAAGATTTTGGAAGGAAACTCAAACATAGCTCCCAACCCTGTCCAATACCTGATGAAGCACTTCAGCTGTGAACCGATTTGTTCATGATCTTCAAGGGACTAGTCAGTCATGAACCAAGCTGGGAGGTGGTTTTACAGACATTTTGATCTTCAACCTTGACTTTGAGATGAAATCCACTGTCAAACACTTGACATCCACTGACCAACATGTTTCAAGTGAGTTGAAGTCACCCAGCAGCTAGCCAAGAGAGGTTGAAGAACCCTACAGGCTATCCCATAGGTACCCCAGTAGGGTCCTATAAGGTCACTTGACCTCTCTTGGATAAGCTGTTCATCCCGTTTTCGCCCAGCCCAGGTGGGCAGTCCAGTGACACCCATCTTGGCGGTGCCTGCTGCAGTGGTCCAGCACCGGGAGATTCAGGCCACGGTACTGACGTTGGGGCAGCGCGTTGTACTAAAGTGCCCTTCAAGAACTGGGTGTTCACATGAACTTGGTGAGTCTGCTTCCTTTGTCTTATTGTTACTATAGTAGTAAGGCACTTGTTCCTAGTAGCGATGCACTTGTTACTAGTTTCCTCGGCCTTTCCAGGTCAGTTGGGGGGTGTCAATGGGGGTATGGGTGTCGGTGTGGGTGTCTGCCGGTCTGGGCGCCTGTCAAGTGAGCCAACCTGAGACCGTCCGGCGAGTCCGCCCGAGTTGGGTCCTCTAACCTGAAGGTTTTCCATCGGAGGCGCGTCATGGAGGCGCGTCCATCGGTTGTCCATGTTGCGAGAACTGGTGCAAAGCTATTTTTTAGCATCCTGAACTGGAATTGGTATCTATCCAGGGTAGCAGGTATGAAAAGCATGGCTTGGCCAGGCCGCGTTTTCACGAAACTCGTCCTCGCGTCGGTGGTGGGCAGGAGTCACCTCCCATGCTACCGGAACTCCTGGAAGCCAACGTCTCCTTCGGAGCTCTCCCACTACGGGACCCCTGTGGCGCGAACTCGCGCGAGTTCGCTGCGGGGGTGGAACCTGCGGAAGGACTGGCGCCGGTGGTGCAACTGCTGGAGCCTGCGGAGCGGGCGGGAGACTTGGAGAAAGACTCAGGACGTGGTTTCAAGAGAGGCTGAAGAACCCTAGAGGCTATCCCAGTTCGGTACCCTGGTAGGGTCCTATTTACGGTCACTTAACCTCTGTTGGGAGATTGGGATGGTCAACCTTTTACTTGGGCATCTCTGAAGCTCGTGACGCCCACTGACTCATATAATTTGTGTATTTGTTTAAACGAATTGAAGCCACCAACTGTAGATGATGATGGAAGCCACAGAGCTGATGAGTCAAAGGTCAGAGGGAATGGGTTTGAATGTGTGAGGTTACTGGGGATCCTGGGCTGGATCCTGTATGGTTTGTATCATCGGAGCTGTGGCTTTGAAGCAGGGCTCCAATATATAGATAGCAACTCACCTAGCTAGGCCAGCAGATGCGCTGCTCACAGGTTTTTTGAGGCGTGGGCGAGAGTGAAAGCCAGCTAGCAGCTAGCCAGCTGCAGCTGCTACAGCATCGACAAGACCATGAATGACAACCACCACCCAGCAGCACACCAACTAACACAAACAGCAACCGCTCGTCGGCCACCAGCAAGCAACAGCAAGAAGAAGGAGGAGGAGGAGAAGGAGAAGGAGAAGGAGAAGCAGAAGACAAGCAAACAAGAAGAAGGGGAAAAAAAACACATGAACAAAAAAACACGCATACAGAATAAGACACTGACCAGAGACAGTTCAGTGCCGTCTTCGGGTCTTTCGGGCCGTCTCTTGGCGCCTCACCCTAAGGACTCGAAGAGGAGTGCGGGTTCCCCCGCGGCACAGGCGGCTGTTCCGCTGGGAGCCCGCTCCGAATGGAAAGCAGCTCTTCCCAACAGAGGTATCCAGTGACCGGTTTCATAGGACCCGTCACCTGGGGTACCGGTTCCTGGGATCGCCGAAGAGTCGGCTTCTTCAACCTCCCAGGAGAGGGTTTTCACAGCCCATCCAGGTCGCCCATCCCATATGTACCACAGACGGGTCCTAGTTCTGGTCTCTCAACCTCTCTTGGTCTTCATCCCTGGGGACCTGTTGTCGCACCGAAGCTCAGAAGACAAAAAGAACAGTGTCGAACACATCACAAGGTACTTGGATCCTGCATGGGCATATGAGCAACCGCTCAAACCCGCAAAAACGATAGGCCCCCCGAGATGAAGCGAGATATCACCTTGCTGAATCATGTCCTTTTGTTTGACAGTACGTGTTGGCAGACGCTCATTTCAATTTGGATACGCCCACCCCATTTGGATTGAAAAAACCTCTTCATATGGGGGCTTACTGATCAAGAGTCTACATTACTGGTTGGTTGATTATGTTGAGGGATATCCCATGATATCCCCCAGTGAAAAACCATAACCCACACACTCCACGTATGCCATATATGCCTATACATTGACCCCCCCAAACCACCCCAATGTAGGCATATATGGCATACATGGAGTGTTTGGGCATGTCTGGGTAATAGAGGTCGGTACCACATCGACCCCTCGATTTTTCTCAAGTACGGACATCATTGATGGCCTCATCCACAGACAGATGATGAGACACCTCAGGCGGTAGGATCCTGCGGATGCTGGGTAGGGGGAACTACTGCAAAAGTCACAAAATGGAAATCATTCCGTAGTTCCTTGATGTGCCTCGGCATCTTCCATGATCTTCTCTGTATAGTTCATGGCCACCAGTTTATTCCCCTTGTACCTGTAATTATATATACAATATTTCCCTTTTGCACCTCTATGGTCCGGCCTATTCCAACCGCATCTGCAGGTGCCTCCATCGATGCTGCCAGGGTAGAGGCTGCGGGGGTCCGAGCGGTGAAAGCTTGCGGGGAACGCATGGGATGTGTCTTTCGCCATTGCTTGGAAGATGGCTGCTGTATGTTTGAGCTCATTTTGATGCTCAAGGTACGTAAATTTGGCATGTCAATCTTCAATGTTTGTATGCCACTAGCTTCAGTTCCTGAGCTGGAACTGGAGTGTGCTTGTTTGTGTGTCTCTAAGAGACCTTATAAAGGTCCTGGGGACGTGTTGGAACACGCGGGTGTCCCAGCTCGATGTGTGCTGATCATACCCATCAACCCACAGCTATTGTCACAACATCTGAATTGGGCCTTCTTAAGGATCCTTAGACCCTCCGTAGCAAGGGGTTGAACCCTTGATGACCGGGTTTTGTACCCGCAGAACCCGGATGCCTGCACATATGGTTGAGGGAAGTGTACAGTTTGTTGGTGTCTTGGGACGAACATCGGACCACATGAGATTACTTTATCTCTATGACCGGTACATGGAAACTTCCGATGCCTCGATCAGCAAATGAAATGCCCCATTTCCATGCAGAGAGGATGGAAGGTCAGCAGTCACATACCCAGGAAGTCAGTGGATCACCTTCTCACATCTTTTCACCTGCTTTTGGGAGCGGTTTCCCCAACCTCATATGTTCACCGTGATTTGCTCCGAGAAAGGTGAAGGAGCGAGGTCAGCAAATTTGTAAGTTTGCAGCCCTGCGCGTAAGGAGCCGTAAAACAGCAGGGCCGCACCGAGCTCATTCGCACAAGAAAAGCGCATGATCCGACAGGTGCTGCCAGAGCCGACGCCTGCGCCAGCCCATCCAGAAGAGAAGGAGGTTTGCAAGCTCCTTGCAGCTTGGAGCAACCAGACCCATCGACCAGCCAGTTATGATGAGAAGGGTGGTCCAGGGTGTGTCATTCATGATGTGTGTTCCAGCAAAGAGTTGGTGAAAGATGGTAGAACCAGCGGTCACATGTCGGGGTGCCGAACGAACGGAGGAAGTCGGGGTGCCCCTGTCACATCCACAGCCCTGGATGGGCCGAGCCAAACCACCCCGTACTTGTGACGCCCTGGACGAGATCCATTTTTTTGGGGACGAGGCCTTGACGGTCCTTACCATCCTTACGCTGGGAACGAAAAGAACTAACAGTTCCATGGACCCTAGGGATCCAAACCTACATAAATAGCCTCCAATCACCTTCTGAGAAGGTACGTGGATCCCTAGGGGCTGGTACCTCTAAGACCAGATTAGACTATTTTCTAACTAATAGTTAGAACAGTTTTTTCTAGATTATTTTCTAACTATTTTCTAACTATTAGTCTATTTAAATAGACTTGAACTTATACTGGAAAATAGTCTATTTTAAACATAACCTTGAGGTTATTCTAAAATAACCCCAGGTAATACAATTTATATGCAAACAACTTGTGTTGTGAAAACAAACTTGAATGTTACTTATAGGCAATGTACTGCTACTTAGGCAATGTTACTTAGGCCATGTACATGTTCTGACAGCACAAGAGAAGGCTTGCAACACTTTTTAAACCAGTGGTTCCAGTTCGACTAAAACCATAGACCGAACGAGGGCCCCTGGTTGACATAGTGGTTTGCCTGGGATGCACCGGGGAGGATAGGGGTGCCCAGAACATCCGCACCTGGATGGGACGAGCCACACCACCCCGTACTTGTGACTCCTGGCTTATTCTTTTGCCAGCACGTGAAGCCGTTTGGTCGGTAGAATGCACACACATCTTTAACGGAGGCCTGTAGAACCTGGTCCTAGGTGTACCTCCAACTGAGTCGTGGGCATTGCGTTGTGACCAACTCGCAGTCTTTCACGAGGTCGCAGATCCTGACGCCGCCCGTGAAACCAGCCCTTGGTCGGTCCAAACCTAGGGTTCCTTTTAAGGGACCCCAGACAACTGACCTGTAGGGCCAACTATATATGAGCAGGTAATGATTCCATATGATTCCAAACCCTGACCCAAAGAGAGGTATCCAGTGACCGAACATAGGACCCGTCACCTGGGGGACCCATAGCCGCTCTTTGCTGCCCCGACCTGTAGGGGGTCCTGACTAGTAGGGCCGAACCGGACCGAGGAGGCGGTGCAAACGGCCTGTCGCTCGGAGAAGAACGCGTCGTGAACGACGCCGCGGGACCCCTGTCCGGGACAGCGCAGTCCGGGATGGGCTGACCGGGAAGAAACCGAAGGATTTGAGACCTCTAGAGAAACAAGGGGGTGAGATCTTCTGGGCAAGCATGGGCAAGCAAGTTTTCATGATATTGTTCGAGAATTGGAGGTCCTTTGACCAATTTGCAGTGCTTGGGACTGGGGAAGCATCCATTTCTGTTCTGTCCATTAAGGCCCAGGTGCATCACCAAAGATCCCTTGGCTATTTTTGTTTGTGTGGACAGGAATAGGGCCCGCGGAGGCCTCAAATATCTCGCCAGATGAGTGAACCAAACACCACATCGCTCCACAAAAGCTGGTGTCACTGGTGAATGTTCTGAAATAAATCATGAAGGCTTCAATTCCAATCAAACTCATCTTCTGGGCATCAAGAATTAAAGGAAAACAACGTGGCACGTCGTCTCGCAGCAGCCTCCGTGTCTATACCATGTCATTCCTGGCCACCGATGACGTCGCTTTTGCCGCCGATGAATTCACCACACCACCCACGGCAGACTCCGCAAGCGCGCGGCCACCCGCGCGCGCGCGCGCGAAGAAGGCGTGGATTTGGCCCAACGGCTGGGAACACAACGAGCCATTTGGAAGGGTCAGGCCTTCAACGCCGCCGGGTTTCCTGCGTGGCGTGCATCGTGGTGTGTTGGAGCTGTTGTTGGTTTGGATGGAAGAATGGCAGGCTGGCACCAGCTTCAAAAGGGAACGTGATGTTAGCCAACCGAAAGATTGAATAAGGATAAAGTCGAGTTCCGCAACTGCGCAGGATTCCGCAACTAGGATTCCGCAACTGTTTGGTCGGATTCCGCAACTGGGATTCCGCAACTGGGATTCCGAAACTAGGATTCCGCAACTAGGATTCCGCAACTAGATTTCCGCAACTAGGATTCCGCAACTAGGATTCCGAAACTAGGATTCCGCAACTGTCAAGATTCCGCAACTAGGATTCCGCAACTAGGATTCTGCAACTGGGATTCCGCAACTGGCGTTCCGCAACTAGGATTCCGCAACATTGTGGACTCCCTCACTAGGATTCCGCAACTTTGTGAATGATGAGGGATGTCGAGATCACACGATGGGGACAAGGGGGGGTTGGGGGGTGGGGGGGTTGGGTGGGGGGCTAATGACGTTGGTTTGGATGTGCTTCGAAGGTGATGTCACAGGCACACACGCTATCGCGTGATGTGGAGATCACCAGTTGCAAGTTTCAGAAGGCAAGTTGCAGAATCTGACTTTCCAGTTTCAGAATACCAGTTGCAGAATCTGACTTTCCAGTTTCAGAATCCTAGTTTCAGAATCCCAGTTTCAGAATCCTAGTTTCAGAACCCCAGTTTCAGAATCCTAGTTTCAGAACCCCGGTTTCAGAATACCAGTTTCAGAATCCAAGTTTCAGAACCCTAGTTTCAGAACCCCAGTTTCAGAACCCTAGTTTCAGAATCCGACCGATTAGTTTCCGAATCCGGCTCTAACCGATTGAATAATGATCCAATGGAGGGTGAGAGAGAGAGAGACAGGTGCTCCCAACTCGATCATAAACCATGATGGATCAGTAGGGTTGCAGATGTTTGTGCAGAATTGGTATAATTATTCACACCCTTTTGTTTCACAATCGGTGATGGAAAAATGCATTGGAGTTTGGTGTGGCTTTGGGGCTGTCATCCCTTTTTGGTACTCAGCCGCCATCAACTTAGCTAAGGTAAGACCTGCCCGAGATTTGTTGAAGTATTGTTGAAGTACTTAGTACTTGTTTTAGCAGTCCCCGCAAGACAGTCGACCGCAATTTCGACTAGGTTCCTTCCGATTTGCAGTGGTGTCTTGGTGGAAACTGGAGGGGCCGGTGTCTCTGCAACTTTGCTACTTCGGAAGCGCGCTGAAAATCAATGGTTTTTCTAGATGATGGTTTCGGACATTGTTTTTCAACCCAACCACTTGGGGATGATTGGACCCTCTGACTCAATATGTTTCTTGGGTGGGTTGAAAGCACAAGTTTTTGGTTTCTTCACTGAAGCCAAAGAACTGTAGTGGCCTCATGGGTGATTGTCGCGAGCCTGGCCTGGTGCAGGAGGAGTTAGAATGAGTGCACAACTCCAGCAGTGCTTGGCACCCCGCAGCCGCCTGGAAAGGCTGTGAGGTGTGAGCGGTCAACACTGCGCAGTTCCTTCTTGGCTTACCCTCCCTTCAGTGGGCAACCTTTAACTCTTTTTTTTTTAAGTCTGTTTTCTCAGCTTAGAGTCTAGAGGTTTGAAGAGTCAGGTTTACAAGCAACTGTCCATTGGGGTCATGACATGTTTGTGGTTGGGGCGCTCAGTGGAGGCCCTGATCAACCAGCATCATTCGCTGCAGGTTTCGTCAGGGGCACACAGGAATGCCCCCCTATGGAGCGTCTATGGGGCGTGGTTTTGGTACCAGACTATGGGGCGTCTACACCCAGCATCCAGGACAGGTGTGGTTTTGGTACCTCAACTGCACTTTGTTGACCAGCGAAGGTCCCAGCGTGATCAGTTGGCCAAAAGCCGGGGAAACATGTGTGCTTGCTTGGAAACACTTAGAGGGAGTAAGTAGGACTCAATCAGCCCCAAAAACGCCGTTGTCACCTGTTTCTGCACCAACAACTCAAGCTTAACTCTTGGCCCTTTCCTAACTTCCCCATACCAAGACTGACTTGGTCAGAGCCCTTTTGATACCGGTGAGGTAGGAGGTATTTAAATGAATTAAAGTTGTATGTGTTGAGCACATGGGCTGCATTGGAAAGCATAGAAGAGGTCCATTTAGAGTGGACTGAGAGTAGATGGCACAATCCCGAATGTCGGTGGTATATATGACCCCCCCTTCAAAAGACCTCTTGGGGTGCCAAGCCTGTTGACCATCAATCACCGTTGCAATGAAAACACATGACGTCCACTCGATCCCCGGATGTGTTTGGGGCGCCGAGGTTAGAATCTGCCTCGGGCCACAGTGCAGTCGGCTTTCTCAGAGCTGTGTGTGTGTGCGTGCTTGTGAAGGATGTTTGATCACGTTTTGATTCCATGGACAGACTAGCAGACTGAATCGAAGGAAGCCCGAGGAAACTTATTGGCAAGTTGGCAAGTCATAAGGCGCCCTGCAATCACAGACATGTCTAGCTCGAGGATGTAAGACTAAGTTGCCAGGAGTGTATGACCATCCTGGAAACGCACACAAAGAATCACACAGATAAATAAATGACATGGATCTCTCCCTTAAAAGCCACTTCCTATTGTAAAGGATCTCAAGTAATTGGAAGAACTAATTGTTTCCGGTTGGTGTTTCGACGTCATAAGGCACCGGCCGAAATTCAAGTGTGTGGGGATCGGACGGTGTCAGTGTGTGGCCGTTTCGATTCTTTTGTCCTTGGCCATCTTGTTGAACCTTTCTTTCTTCGCAATGCAAATACATCACACATCTTCTGAAAGATGGTCAAATCTTGCCCATCGTTGACCCCGCCCCCTTCACCGATCCCTTGAAAAAAAGGATGTCAACCTTCCATGTTTTGTTGGCGGGGGAGTTCGGCTCACAGCATTATGCCACAGACATGGCCAGGCACGATCCCAACAAACTCATGCCTGCAAACCAAGATGAATGGAATCATCGCTGGCTGAGAGATGAACGTTGCAAAAAACATGTTTTGACATGAGCTTCGGAGCCCAGGATGCCAGTATGCCTGCTTCATGTTGTAAACATGGCCACATGGCCAAGCATTTAATAAAGAGCACGAGGTACCAAACGACTCGTCTCTTCTTGAGCCCTCGTCGTTCACTTAAGGAAGTCTTTGAAGTCTTGGGTTCTTTGAAGTCTTTGTAGACAGAAACTGAAAACCGCAACTCCACGATTCGATCTTGTTCGAAAGGCTTGGCCCTCCGTGTCTCTTGCCATGCCGCCCGTCGTTCGCTGGAGCATCATTGGCGGTGGCACCACGGGAGGCATTCTGGTGCGAGACGGGGAGTGCCTTGGTGAAAGGGAGCATCAAAAGTCACGAAAGCTACCAAGAGAGGTTGAGAGACCATATAGGACCCTGTAGTGGTACATATGGGATGGGCTATAATTAAGGCTGTTCAACCTCTCTAGGTAGCTGTTAGCTAGCTAGCTGGAGTCTGTCTTGCTTTGGCAAGGAGGGGTGGGAACCCAGCACCTAGCTGGTTCAGATCATTTCATGCCTGGCTGGTTCTTCAAAGTGACCCTTTGACATTGGTCAGGGGTGCGGCTTCCTTCAAGTTGTAGAACAACGGAAGGAACTCTTAAAACATCCAACCCAGACACCACCTGTTTGAGACTCCCGCCGATGAGGCCAGGGGTTGACCTGGGTTCAATGTTGACATATATGCCAGTCCCACCCTCCTGCGCGCCCAGGAGCACGAAATCCGAGCAGACAGGTCGAAGCCTGGCTCGGGCGACGGCTGAAGAATGGGCTGAAGAAGGGGCAGCCCCAAACCTCCAAACATGGTGTCTAATCCCGGTTTTGCTGGTGATTTGTATGTTCTCTATGGGTGGGCGTTCCCTGAATTCCCCTTCCGAAGATGTGAACTTGTATTCTTTCTAGGGCTCCTACCAAGAGAGGTCAAGTGACCGTAAATAGGACCCTACTGGGGTACCGAACTGGGATAGCCGAACTAGGGTTCTTCAACCTCTCTTGGTGGACAGCAATTCGTTGACATCGAGTTTTGCACGAAGATGCCCAGGGACACCGTGTCCCACACCCACTTTCGGGGCTGACGCCGTGGGGTGTTTGCCGTACTGCAGAGTCAACAGCGTCGAATTCGAAGTGCTGTGTCCAAGGGCTTTTGCAGAATGTCCTTGGTCACGGAATGGATTTAAGTTGAGGAACTTGCCGGTTGCTGGTCCGGGTGTCAAAAGGCTTGTCAGATGTGCCAATGGTGCTGGTGATGTCGGCGGAAAGCGCAATAATATTGGCCGATGAGGCCAGGGGTGGTTGACCTGGGCTCTAGCATAGTTGTTAGCATAGATTCCATATACAGTTCCATATAATTCCATATACATATTCCCTAAAGGTCGAAGACCTCATTTTGCTGGAGTTGGTCATTTTTACGCACCTACTCAATGAGGTATTCAGGACCAGGTTTTACTGGTCAGACTGGACCCGTAGAGATTATGGAACATTTGGAGGGTGCAAGTCAACTGCAGTGATGGACTGGATGGACAGCTCTAGGACTTGGCACTGGCGCAGTGGTGGAGCAGCTGAAGTTGAAGGGAGACCGTTTGCAGTATCAGCTCGTCTCGGGTGAAGGCGCGGAACCAACGAAGGCCCTGATCGCTCGGCTGGGCTGGGTGCACTCCCCGCACGGAGTCCAGAGGGGCGCGGGGGTTCAGTGACATTTAGATGTTCGAGTCCTTTCGACCTCCGAACCTGGCTGGACATTGGACCCTACACTGCTGCGTGGAGACACCCAGGTGTGGAGAGACAAAGGCCCATGAAGGTGGGGCAGAACACCCAGTCACGGCCGAGCCGCAGCCGATCCGGTCGGTGCCCCTGGCCACCACCTGAGGCTACGGCCAGAAGCACACACAGAGTTCGGGTGCTGAAGACGAAGAGAAAAAGACCTCGTCATGTGGTGTCGTCTGACATCCTACTATACATCCTAAATCACCTAAACCATCCAAAAATCTATAAACCACCTAAACTCCATGATATCTATAGACTTCCTGAGATGGAGCTCCTCTCGGCCATGAATCAATATAGCTTCGAAGCTTCCAACAGAGCTTGAAGAACCCTTTTGGATCCTTTTGGACCATATATTCCCAGTTCGGTACGTTCCTTTTTCAGGTCATTATAGATACCTCTGTTGGTTCCACACCTTCTCGAGCAGACGTGTGACTTCCCGTTTTGCTTCCTTCAAGCCTCCGAGGTCCATCAGAGGGCTGGGTCAGCGTGACGTTGCAGGGCAAGCCCTTAGCCGTGGAGTTGCGCGAAGCGTCCAACGGCGCTGTCAACGGCGCTGTCAATGGCGCTGCCAACGGCGCTGCCAACGGCGATGCGGCAAAGGTGGGGTTCAAGGATGGTGGTTGAAGGTGGGTGGGTTAGGCTGGAATGCAACAAGTATGATGATTATGATGTACATACCCTAGGCCTCCATTCGTACCTTCGTTTCGAAGGTGGGACTGGGGTGGGTTGTCAGGATGGTCCAGTCATACCTTCTGAGGAGGTGTAGGGACAGTGTATCCCTTTTGGCGTCGGCACACTGAAATATATGGTGTTTCAAGACGACCAGGCAGGCAGATGCAATCGGCGAAAGCAACAGCAGGCTTCAACAACAAAGAAGCTCAGTTGTGACAAAAGATTTATTCATTGACCCAAGCACCTGATTCTTCAAACACATAAATATACGTATATTTGATTAACTTTTTTTTGAAATCTAATCGGGTGGATGCAATTGGATATCCACGATATCCACGCAGTTGGAATCTTGATGTTTGCTTGCAGTGGCCAGGAGAAGGAAGAAAAAACCTTGCAAGACACTGCTGATGATGCAGCCAGGAGACTCCAACATGTGGCAGGTCAGCAGGTCATTGGCAGGTCTGTGTTGGTCCAAGTCATGTGCATCCTGCATCCTCTAAAGAAGGCTCTCCCGTGGATTCTTTCACATGGACTCAATGAACCGGGTCTTCCGCGGGTCTCTCATTCAGGGTCGGACTCTCGCAGACTGGAAGAGCACTGTCGGGTGGTGACTGCAGGCTCCTGGACAAGGACCACATGGAACCCGCCAAACTGCTGGGTTGGTATTCGGAAAATGGTCGAAACCACAGGTCAATTCTCAGGTTCTATGTTAGTTTGTGGGGGGAGTATATTCCACCAAGGTCTCCAATTCACACTTCCGATGAACCCGTCTCCACCGCTTTCCACGTCATGGCCCTGGCGTGTGTTCTGAAATCGCTTGAAACCACCACCGGCTACACCCACGCTGACACCACATTTTTTCCCCATCCGCTGAGCTTCGCACATTGCGGTTCCACCACAAACATGAACACACTTGGATCTCCCCTCTTCCCCACGCACGCGCGGCGTCATCGCTGTGTCAGCAGCAATCGCGCGGGTTCGGCGGGTAGGAGGGAACGTTGGGCCACCTGGAGTCCCTTGAGCGCTGCCGACTGGCCGAGCTTCCCGCGCTTCGGGGATGGTGGGCGGCCTTTGAACTTGAGCTCATTCAAGAAGGTGAGGGGGGTGTTCCCGAAGGGTGGTGGAAAGAATTTAGATACTGTAACATACCAATGTTCATTACCAAGTTAATTTTGTATATAACATTATTTGGTATGTCGAGTCAGCAGTTGATTGAAGCTCAATAGATTGACAGATGCTTCTTGTGGCTCATGGATTTGCAGCTTGTCCAAGGAGCGAAACGTTGTTGTTTCGCAGCTGGGTTGTGTGAGTGATCTTTGTACCACCGACACAATTCAGAGCAACATCCTGTAACAACCAAAGCTGGACCTTTGTTCATCATGTAACATTCCTAGTTTGAGCTCGTGTTGTTTTGGCCATATGCCTTTTGCTTTGATTTCCGCCGCTGCCGCTGCGACCTGCAGCACTTCAGACGGCCAGCGGTTTCGCGTGACCACCGTCTTTCTACTACGGCACCGGTTTCGCCGCCGCTGCAGGTGGTCCATGAGCAGGCACCTGGGGAGTTCTGGGGCTTGGAGATGCCCTTGACGCCCAAGCAACTGGTGCCTTGGGGCGAGTTTACTTCGTCCAGAAGGAGGTTTAGGAGGAAAGGGGGGCTTAGTGGGATACAGTGGGATGGTATTCTTTTTCCTGCAAGGGAGCGTGAAAGGAGGAGAGTCATGGATGACTTCAATGGAGCGTGAAAACATGTGAAAACCGTAGAAAGGTTGTGGGATCAACAAATCCAAATCATATAGTTGTCAATGCCGTTTATTTGTGCCCCTGTTCAGGACTCGCAGGCAAACCTATAGATATCTTAGATGTTTGATGATC